GAGCCGTGGACAACCAGTACTCCTTTTTCTGAGGAGGCAGTCGTAACACTAAACGAGCGAGAGCCAGACCAGACCAGACGAGACAGACGCACGCCGAGAGCAGCTTACGACACTAACGAGTGCCACGCTACTTTGGCCTCAGCGTACACGCGTACCTCATATGTCCGCCGCTTGATCTTCACAAACACCTCATACAAACCTGCGCATGTATGAACCATTGAAATCCTCTGTGTGTGTGTGTGTGTGTGTGTGTGTGTGTGTGTGTGTGTGTGTGTGTGTGTCTCAAAATGAGTGTATGTGTGTGTTAATGGGTATGTGACTTTAGCGTGTGAGCGCTCATACTTACCTGATGTGTTTAAGCCCAGCTGATGATGTCATCTCATCATCATCCGGTGCCTCTCGGTTGGTTGTGGTGTTTTATTTTATTTTTTTACCTCAGCATCTCTCGGTGAATCGTCAGTCTGGCGGCTGCCGCTGTCCACGCTGGCAAGAAGAGTCCTGATTTTGTTTGTGTTTGTGCGCTTTTCATTTTGGGGGGGGTGGCACAAACAAATGTGAGTCTCTTTTCATCCTTTCAGCAAAAACTTGACTACTCGTGCCTTTTCTGTGTCATCTCTGCTCAAGTTAGTGCTTTTTTTTTCGGGGGGAGGGGGTTGTTTCGTTCTTTAGATTGTTTTTATTTTCTTTGAATTCCATATGTGCTCTGTCTGTCTGTTGTGTTGTTGGTCGGTCTAACAACTCTTTGTGCCTTTCTCCTTCTCTTCTTCTCCTTGTCATCGCTGGGACCGTGTGTCGAGGGCGTCGGTTCTGCGTCCCCGCTCATTAGTTTCAGGTACTATGTTGAATTTAATGATTATAATATAAATATAGTGAAATGTTAACACTCGTCGTGTCTTCATTTTGTTCACGCTTATGTGCACAATAATCACACATCAAATGGAGGGGGAGGAAGGAAAATACAGAATCATGCAAAACATGAATGAACTAAACATTTCTCTTTAGCACCCGCACACACTAGTGACAGTGTAAGAGATAGGACCAAGGTGGGGCATGAAATTTCAGCACCCTAACTCCTAGCGTAACTGAACTCTCCACAAATCAATCTACAATGATGTCGATGCGAAGACATCTGCATGTTGATGCCTACATATGTACACAGCACGGTGTCATTCGCTTCCTGGTGGAGTTTTAAATCCACTCACTGTCTGCCCTAATTGTAACAGTGAAAAATCAAATTCATTCATATTCCAAGAATGCAATATTAATCAGAAAATTGTGTTTTGACTAGTGGGGGGCACATAGAACATATTCTTGCAAAGAATATTTTTGTGTTTGGTTTCATTTAAAATATTAAAATCAAACTTCGTCCGTTGAATTTCATACTTGGAGCTGAGCTCAAATTTGAAGTACGAGAAACCAGGTCATTTTTTTCCGTGTTTCATTGAAAAAAAAAATGACAAAAGAGACATTTTTTATTTCTTTTGTCCACATCCCACTGGAAATGGGGGGTGTGGGGGGGAGAACGTTGCAAGGATTGTTCTACCATTAAAGTGACTTGTTTAACATATCAACAAGTGATGAAAAAATGTTTTGCAATCATTTTGCCACCGTCGAAGAGCGCCGCAAATGACGTGCGCGCGCCCGATGCGCGCGTGACCGATGATTGACGCAGGTGCTGCGCACGCGCAGGTTCTCTCCCATCCATGTTGTGTCGGCGGAAGGAGGGGGCTAACTGCTCACGGCTAGCCTAGCCCGCGTCCTCCTCCTTCCTCGTCTTGTTATCTTCCCTATTCCTGTTCTGGTTGGAGGTTCGGAGGACATGTCCTGGGCTCGCCGCCCCACCAGGCGGCCGCCGAGCGCCGTCGAAACTCCCGCAGCTCTTCTCTAAGCTAAGCTAAAATAAAATAAGCTAAGCTAACGTTAGCCTGTGACGATGACCGACGAAATGTCTCCTGACTTCGTGTTGATGCGCCTCTTCGTCTCGGCGGCCGAGTACGACCACCTGGATCACCTGGACCGGCAGCCCGAACACGTCACATCCGGGAAAGCCGGCCTGGCTCACGACGGCTTAGATGTGGACTCCGGCGGGCCCACGCCGGCCCTCCTTGGCTCGGCGTCCCCGCACTACAGCTCGCCTCTGCCCGGCAAAGGCGAACTCGAAGGCCGGCTGCTGTTGCCGGAGGCACCCCCAGACTCCGAGGAGGATGACGACTTGGACTTTACCGGTTCGCCCGGGTCTAGCTCGAGGGCGCAGTTGATGGTATTCCGGAACCGGATGTTGGACTTTGGCCTGGAGCAACCCCCTTTGGAGGGGAAGGAGACCCTGTGGGTGGACTCTTCAGAGTCGGATTCCGGTCCGGCCAGGGGGGTAGAGGAGCTGGACGTGTGTTGCGTTCCGTCTTCTGAGGACAACCAATCTGATCCGTCTGGGTCGGTCCTGTGCCACCCACTGGCGAAATGGCCACAGCTGAGTATGATGAACAACTGTGATGCTGGTGACAAAGATCTGGTCCTGGGCCTGAACCATAGACCGGATCAACAAGGAAGTGGGGAAGGCGATGACAGCGTAGCGGCATCCCTACCTCGGTGCTCTTGTCTCCTGGGCACCAGAGGGATGGCACCGGGCGAGGATCCAAGCGAGACAAGTGATGCCCTGCTGGTCCTGGAAGGCTTGGATGCAGATGCTGAAGTTAGAGAGTTGGGGCTGTGTAGGAGCGTGGGGCCCATGTTTGCCAGCGGAACCCTTAGCGGGCTGATGCAGCAGGTCCACAGACTGGCTGGGGAGGCGGGGGTCTGCACCCATCAGGCGTGGAGAACCCCCACAGCTGTTCATGGACCTACTGGCTCTCTCCCGAACCAGACCGATGACTGTCTTCAAGTATCCCCCGTCACCCCTCCATCCCCCATCCCAGAACCGCAGCAGCGCCCGCAACACCAGTCCCGCTCCCAACCCCAGAGCCGGGCCACCACCCCCAAGTTGGGCTCTGCCACGGGGGGCCGCTCTGCCTCCCCTCTGGTGGTTCTGGAAGGGGATCTAGCGGGTGGGGACAGGACACCCAGGGGCAAGTCCAAGAAAGGTGTGTCCCTGAAGGTGCGCCTGAGCAAACTGTTCCGTACCAAGAGCTTGTGCGGAGGTGCAGGGGGCCACCTGGACAAGAGGCCGTCCCTTGCCTCGTCCACTTCATCGGGGGGGAGTCTGGTGGATGTGTGGGGGTCCGCCAGGTTGTGGGGATCCACCTGCAGCAACATGGAGGATGGCGGCAGGTAAGAGGTCAAAGGTGGAGCGGGGTGGTTGCTCTTGTGACGCGATAACAATCACTTCCTGTTTGTCAGGCTGCAGACGGCCACGCTGACGTGCTCGCCGCCCTTCACCGGTGAGCACACGTGACACGCTAACATCTAGCATCCTTCTCTTTTTGAGCGCTAGCCCGACATAGTGGTGATGTCACTTCCTGACCTCTGGCATGTCACTTCCTGTCCTATCTATTTCTCTGTGTGAAGGTGAGACAGTCTCTCTGGTGGATGTGGAGATCTCTCGGAGGAACTGTCTCCACCCTCCGACTCCTCCACCTCCACCGAGACGGAGCCTCAGTCTGCTCGGTACTATTTCCTCTTCTTCATAATTTCTGCTTCTTGTTCCACTTCTACTTCCTGCTCTTCCTCTTTTCTTTGGTTTTATTTCTTGACGTGACTTTTAGTACCTGACTGGTAATTCATTTTTTAGGCCGATTCCAATTTTTGGGAGAAACACAATTCCTGTGCCCCTTTAATTTTAGATAATGTGTAATGAACTAAATAATTTATTTTTGGTCACTTAATGCTTACAACAATAAAGAGAGTAGTTTGTCTGTTTTACATACTTTGTGCTTTAGCATCTATTGAACTTAACAACAGAGAAGAATTTTCATGTACAATGAAAACATGAACTTATGCCATCTTTAACAGAGTTGTATTTGAAAGATGAGATAGAGAGAGAGAGAGAATTTGCACATGGCCATAGAAGAACTGGGACAACAACGATAACATTTGGACCGGCTCACACAGGAAAAAAAATCACTGGGAGCCGCAAAACACTTTTGATGTCACAACTGATGATTTACCATTTGTTCGCTTTTTGTTTTATACCTCTTTGTATCAACAAAAAAACAAAACAAAACTTGCATTTATTAAGTCAGTGAGCTGCTCCAAAGAACATACAGTACAATTTGGATTTCTGTTGATAACAAAAACATTCTAAACTCTGAAAAAAAAAAGGCGCTTGGTTGAGGGTTACGTGCGAATAAATCGTCAATGTCCATTTGAATCCAACCAACCAAAAATGTTTTCTGCATGTGTCTCCTCTCAGATGATTTGGGGGGTCCACCGCTGCCACGGATTCCGTTGTCCGAGTGCGTCGGCGGGGCGTCGATGCAGTCTCTACCACCCCGTCCCATTGGTGCGCCGCCCTCCCTGAGCACCATCCAGCACAGCCTGAGTCTCAACGGTGGGCAACTTCCCGGCTTGATTTGGTGCACTTCCAAAATATATTCAAGTGGAAATATAAAATTCAATTTGGCTTGTTTGGCACATGTAGTTTGTGCACTTCCAAAATATATTCAAGTGGAAATATAAATACTGTTCAATTTGGCTTGTTTGGCACATGTAGTTCGATAGGTGACTTAAGATTGGCCGTTACATTGCTGTGACCTTAATGTGTGCTATGCCCTTGCTTATCTATGGCCCTCTTGGCACACTTACTAGTTGAATCCACTTCACTCATTCAGTACCAGCCAATTCTGGACCAAGTCTGAAAAGACGTTTAAAAACGTCTTTGGGAGTGAATGAGTTCAAGGGTGGCGTCACACATTGTCATACAGGCTCGGCAAAGTCGCCCCCTTTACATGGGGGAGGCCACGATAATATAAGAACAGTCTTCTTGGTATCCATTAATTAGTTTAACTGAGAATATACAGCCAGCTTGTTGATGGTGGTATAGCAAGCATGAAAGAATCGGCAGAGGTTCCGAACGGAACTTTCCACTATGTTGCATGAACACTAATCTGACAAGTCCAAAATGTATCCGCCAAATTTCTTTAAGTAATTGTAAGGTAGGAAATGAGGTTCCTTCCTTCGATCAAATATCAAGTACGACTTTATTGCAACATCCAACACAGATGAAATTTCTTCCCTCTCAAGACAACATACAACAAGAGGAGCCGCTGCGGGTGCCCGCGCCGCCATCAAAAGGGGCTGTGGAAAAAAAAAAAATCTAATAACTGAGTTGACTACAAAGAGTTTGACACAAAATTTCTGCCTCAAAGCTTTGCCAGCTTTTATTGGTGTCCTTGTAAAACACAGGTGTCAAAGTCAAGGCCCGGGGGCCAGATCTGGCCCACCACATCATTATATGTGGCCCGTGAAAGCAAATCAAACATGTCAAGTTCCATAATGCTTGCGAAAGTGTGAACCAAATGTCATATGTAATCCAGAATAACAGTTATTATTGTTGACTTCTGATTTTAAAACTAGTTATCCATCAATTTGTTGTGCGCTGTGTATGTAATATGTGGAGGTGATTCAACATTTATATGGTTTCCCAAAATTCATAACGGCCCTCCAAGGGAAACCTTAACTACAATCTGGCCCGCGACAAAAATGAGTTTGACACCCCTGTAATTTAATTCTTTGTCGCCGTCTCTTTCCTCAGACTCATTCCTGCGGGGGCTGCCCCGGCCTGTCCCTCTGCGGACCAACGCGCGGAACCCGCCGGTTCCTCGCCCAGCGCCCCGCCGCCCCCTCAAACGTCCCGACGCCGGCAACTTCGCCAACAGCCTGCGAGAGCTGGAAAAGGTCAGGTCAGGTTGCCGGATGGTCGCGCGCGGCGCCACTGACGAGATGTCTAAGTGATAGTGTGCGTGTATCCGCCGTGCAGTGCGGCTGGTACTGGGGTCCCATGACGTGGGAGGACGCCGAGATGAAACTCAAGGGCAAAGCGGATGGCTCCTTCTTGGTGCGGGACAGTTCGGACCCTCGCTACATTCTCAGTTTGAGCTTCAGGTCGCAGGGCGTCACGCACCACACGCGCATGGAGCACTACCGAGGTAATGCACGCCCGCGCAAAACGCCGTTACGATGACTGGCCTGTGATGGCTGGCCTGTGCCCTCTTAGGGACCTTCAGTCTGTGGTGTCACCCCAAGTTTGAGGACCGCTGCCATTCGGTCGTGGAGTTCATCGAGCGCGCCATCATGCACTCCAAGAACGGGAAGTTCCTCTACTTCCTGCGCTCCCGAGTCCCGGGTAGGCCGCCGCTCATCCCCGCAGACAGCAAATCCAAATAGACCCCACCTTGGGGTTTCTCTTGCTATATCGTGTCCACGCACAGCCCGAGCTGCCTCCGCTTGATGTTCTTTTCCCGTTTTCAGGTCTGCCGCCCACGCCGGTGCAGCTGCTTCATCCCGTGTCCCGCCTGAGCAGCATCAAATCGTTGCAGCACCTGTGTCGCTTCTGCATCCGCCAGCTGGTTCGCGTGGACCACATCCAGGAGCTGCCGCTGCCCACGTCAGGCTCCACCTACCGCGACCGCACTCCCCCTCATAAGGTGTCGGTGCACCCGCTGAGCTGTTGTGTCTTCCTGTCCCCAGGCCCCTGATCGCCTACCTGCGCAAGTTTTACTACTACGACCCAGAGGAGGAGGCCAGCCCTCCGAAGGAGGCCGGCGACACACCAACGTAGCGACCTGGCATACGGACCAACATGAGTCCAACCCATCAAAGGCCAGTGTTTTTTTTTAGCTTTCTCGTACACGCCACAATGATCACGTTCCACCAAATACTCACGAGGCGTAGTTCCACAGCCCTGGCCTAAACAAACAAACAAAATGAACAACATGAATCCTTATCAGGCACGCCCCCACAGATGGACTTTAGTCGCTGTCCAATTGCTAAACCAACTCAAAAGGATTCTGTTGACTTTTGGACAGTCATGTCATTTGAACCCCAAAATCTTGACCGCGGTTATGGCACTGCGTCGCTGATAGTGTCGTGGTACACTCGGCTGACTTGTGTGTGGATGTGGGTGTGAATGATTGTTTTTCTCTATATGTGCCCTGAGACTGGCTGGCAGCCAGTTCAGAGTGTACCCTGCCTACTGCCTGTAGACAGCTGGAATAAGCTCCAGCACGCCTGTGACCCTTGTGAGGATAAACGGATTCGAAAATGAATGGATGGTTATGGTACTGCATAGTTCATCAAGTGATATATAAGAGACCATTCAAGTAGCAGGTTATTTCCTCCTTGATACAAATAAATAAATTAATTAATTGGCAATTAAGAATAAAAAAAAAAACAACAATCGAAGGTGCCAAAGTCCCAAATGCACAGCAAAACTGTTGGGGCACAACAAAGACAAACCGGTAACCTTTTGACCCCAATGAGCAGCCCAGCAGGGTAGTTTAAAAAAAAAAAATCCATGAAGGCAGTAAAAGTGAACTTTTGAGTTATCAACGTTGTAATTGTTCTTTCTTTTTGGACATCGCAGGATGAACTTGAAGCTGGACAACCAGTCAGCTCCCTTACTACGTCCTGTATCCGGGCGGGTTTGGATTCACCTTCCTCCTCTAAGCTCTCTGATTGGTTGCTGAGGTCCGCAGTCGGAAAAGAACGAACTCCTCAGCTTCTGTCGCCGCCGCAGCCGAGTTTTGTCAAAGACGCTAACTGCGGGGATTCCTGGAACCTTCAAAATAAGTTGTTTACAGGACGTTGATGCTATCGCATGTAAAAGAAGTCCGAGCCGCGTCCTTCCCGGTGAGTGACGTCCAGAAAGTGGGCGGGGCCCGAAAGTTGAAGATGTCACGTGACTCGTGCTGGGACACGCCTCCATGATGATGTCATTAATTGTGAACTGTCAATAAATGTGGACGGGGCTCCTCTGCCTGCTTCCTGTCCGTCTGAAAGCGTATGTCAATCAAAAGGTCGAAGGTCACGTTAATGTGCAACGGGGGTGCAAACAACAGAGGGAGGCGGAGATAAATGCGCTCCGCAGGAAGCACGACATTTTCATTTCAGAGACGCCATGAAAAACATCAGGAAGCTGCTCGTTATCTTCATCGTCCTAATGTGTGTGAAGCGTGCACGTGAGTCTTACACACACACACACACACACACTCGGGGATTCAACTCTCAGAGGGATTATACCATAAAAATGACTTCAACAAAGATGCTCCCTAGGAAAAAAAATATTGTGTATGTCATGATGCTTTTGCACAGGGAAAAAAAATACATATCGATATCGCAGGTGACTGAAATTAGCTAGAGGTACTTGGAATGTCACCACTGACAGTGAAGGAGCCCAAACTGGTGTGTGGGGCATTGACGTTGCTACTCGCCTCCACCCACAACTTGGCGTCTCATTCCAGTCCTCTCGAGAGGGTTTGGAGACATCTCTACTCCGGTGTTGTCCACGGTGAGAAACACCGACCAGGTGTGGGCATACTTATTGCTCCACGGCTTGGGCTTTCTAAATTGGGGTTCACCCCAGTGGACGACACGGTAGCTTCCCTCGCCTTCGTTTTGTGAGCCTTTTCTGGGAACGTCTGGCAGAGTCTCCCTGTTTGAAAGCGTTTCAAAGTCAAATAAACAAACTGCTTTTCAGCTTTTCTTTCTCACTTCCATGTGTAATGAAATCCTGCAACGATGACTCACTCGCTGGGTATACATGTGCCCGTGGGTGCATGTTTGTGTGTTGAGTACAGATACGGTGTGTGTGCGCGTGTGTTGGATTAATATTGATGTGTGTGCAGAGTCTGTGACGTGTTTCGCACGCTTCGAGCGGACGTCGGGCATCTGTGAAGAAGAGCTGGGTGACCTTGATGAAGACGACTGCTGTCTCAACCCTCATTATGCTTACCTCACACAAGATGGAGACTGCCAGTCCTGTGGGTCAGTATGCAAACACGCGCGTGCGCGCGCACACACACACACACACACACACACACACACACACACACACACACACACACACACACACACACACACACACACACACATGCAGTGATGTCCTGAAGCAGCTTTTTCTTGTGTGTGTGTCTTTTGTCAGTCCTCCAAAATGGACCGACTGGTCGCCATGGTCACCATGTACCACCCTGTGCGGGGAAGGCGTGACCCAGAGGAGACGGAAGTGCTTTGGCATTGGCCAACCAGAGTGCAATAATGCTCTAGAGTCTCTGCAGACCAAACCTTGCACCGGAACATGCTGCGGTGGTACGCATGCACCGCACACTTGTACATGCAGAAAAATGCCATTTCAAAATAAGAGCATCTAAAAGATGTACTGCGAAAACCAATACTGTCGATGAGGCAACTCAAGTCAAATTGCTTGTTGCATTTAAGAACAAAGTCAGCATAGTGTGGGCCTTTGAGAGATGAAATTTTGTTTGCTTCAGAGGGGTGGAGCGCGTGGCTTCCGTGGTCGCCGTGTTCTGCGACGTGCGGAGGGTCCGGAGTCAGCAAACGGGTGAGGCTTTGCTCCGCAACTCCCGAGTGCCTCTCGGCCTGCAATGGCGCCACCGAGATCGTGATGTCGTGTGATGCCAGCGGCAAGTGTCCAGGTGTGTGCGGGGCATCTTTGCCATTATCATCAACGTTTATCACACAAGCCCTTGCTTACTTTTTCCCACCTGATCTCCCATTTATTCAAGACTTTTTTTTTTTCCTCTTAATTTTTTTTTTTTTTTTGTGGGGGGGTGGGGGGGGAGCAATTACAATGAGCATCAATTATTGGTGTGCTTTTTTTTTTCCTGACAGAGAATCCTATCCACTAACAAGTCCCCTCCAAAATTATCGGAACAGGAAGTTCAACTCCTTTGCTTATTTTGTTGACTGAAGACATTTGGATTTCCAATCAAAAGATGTATATGAGCCAAGAGTTGAGAATTCAAAATTTGATTTCATGCTATCTACATTTTGATATGTTCAATAACTTGGGACAAAGCCCCCTTTTTTTTTTTTTTGTTAAAACCACCCCCTTTTTAAGTGAGCAAAAATATTGGAGCATGTGGCTGATAGCTGATTTGAGCATTTTAAAACGTTACACGTGAGCTACGATCGTGATGTTCATGCATTTAACACGCTGCAAAAGTGCGTCCTATGCCTCCACGTAGGTCTCCCATGAAGGTAGGCAGTGATTTCCTTTTCACAAATTCTACTTTCTTCTCCTGTCGTTGCATGTGTGCATACCTGCGTATGCACACGTGCGACTGGATGCGCACCCGAGATTGGACGCGCACCCGAGATTGGACGTGCACCCGAGATTGGATGCGCGTGCGTGTGCGGTAATGGTCGATCGCGAAGGTTGATTTGGCTTGAAAAGTAGATCTTCGGTCAAAAAACGTTGGGCACCCCTGGCTAGATCGTGCCTTCGACTTCCACATCATCATGATGACATTGCTCACGAAGACTTGAGCCCAGTGCTGCAAAGGTTGTTGCGCTCATGCATGTGCATGCATCCACAGTGCACGGCGGCTGGTCGTCGTGGTCTTCGTGGTCGTTGTGCTCTTCCAATTGCATGCGCGATGATGCGGCTCCGCCATTCAAACAACGCCGTCGCTCCTGTTCGGACCCCGCACCCTCTGCTGACACGAAGCCGCCTGGTGACGGTTGCAAGGGAGATGATGTCGAGCTACAGAACTGCAACGACATTCCAAAATGTCCCGGTAGGTTGGCAGCACGTTTTCTCTCAGGGTGACCACGTGGGCAGCATGTGGGGCTCGCAGGCACAGAGTTCTGGGTTTGAATATGAGTTAGGTGTTGGCGCTAAGATCTTCCCTTTCTGATGCACTTCTCCTTAGTGGATGGCAACTGGGGGGAGTGGTTGCCGCCAGGATCTTGCTCTGCCCAGTGTGGGGAGGGGCTTAAACTCTCCATCAGGCAGTGTGATCAACCTGCGCCCAAATATGGCGGACGACTCTGCGTGGGACCAAACGCGCGCAGCTACCCGTGTCACATCACTTGCGCTGGTACAAACACACACACACGCACGCACGTGCACACGCTGACATGAGTGTGATTGACAGTTGATGGATCGTGGTCCGGTTGGTCCAATTGGGGCCAGTGTTCATCTTCCTGCATCTCGGAAGGCGGGCCTCCCATCAGGACTCGTCAGCGTTCCTGCTCTAGTCCCGGGCCTTCGCTCTTCCCCGCAGGTGAATGTTGCCATGGCAACAGCAGCCACACACAACACACACATCAGTGGCAGGGTGTACATTTTGCTACATTTGATACCTGGACCGAAAAAAACAACTTTTTCATCAAATAAATTGACCACAGATGCTGAATATTACTCAAAACCTATTAATGAGACACAGGCAGAACATGCAAACCCCATATAAGAAGGCTGGGGCCGAATTTGAACCCATGACCTCTGCACTGTGAGCCGGACGTGCCCAACCGGTCTCCACTCTGCTACCCAATATTTTAAAATCAAAGGCCTTATCTATTGGTACCCTAAAAATGAATTTAGAATTTTAAAAATGTTTTTCGATTCAACTTTTTTTTTACATTAAAAACAAAAAATGTGTTATCTTGTAAAAGTCGACTTTAATTATGTTATCTTTCATTTTGTCTCTTATAATTTACACGCATGTATATGTACTGCATCAACAAATGTGTATACATGTCGCAGCGCTTGTGACGGCGTCTTCGGTTGTTGTTGCAGGGAAGAGTTGCCCTGGCAACAGCAACTCCGTGGAGACCTGCAGCCATCTTCCGCATTGCACCGGTACAAGTGCTTGCCGGCCCATTCTGCACCTGTGTCCACAGGCTTGACGTTTATCCTTTTGTCGGCAGTGGACGGCGCGTGGGGATCCTGGTCGGCCTTCTCGGCCTGTCCCGTAACCTGCGGCGTCGGATTGGAGGTGTCACGCAGGAGCTGCGACAGCCCTGCCCCCAAATCTGGTGGCCAGCCGTGCGCAGGCAACGACCGGCAGACTCGTCTTTGCAATACCGGCATCCACTGTCCGGGTACGTCCACGCCGGCTATTCATGTGTCCTCAATGGGCACCTGTTCCTTGAGATACCGGTTTACGCAAATGGTCTTATATTAAGTCACCACCATACCCCATTGAAAGAGATGCAAATGTTACCAAAAAAAAAAAAAAATTGTCGTGTGTTTTTAATTTAAACCTTAGCACTCTTTAATATTGTTCTTTACAAAAAAAAAATCAATAACACAAGAACATATATAACGGAAAGAACTAAACCGTTTGTGCATGATTTAATACTGCAGTCCAATTCCATGTGCTGCTCCTTCTGGTATGCACACCTTGGCCACCGGGGGGCAATATCATACCACACAGTCTTGCAGACACAAAACACGAGGAACAGTAGTACTTGTTTTTAACTACTAATCAGTATGTTGCTGTGATATTAGTCATTGTTTTGCGGAGGATCAAGAATATATGCCTGTGTGTTATCTTATTTTGTCACATTATTTAACACAAAGCTAATCAGTCTGCTTTCATGAAGGAGAATGTTTAATGTTGGGATGCTGAAATTTTGAGGATATGTAGCGTTTAAAGTCTCTTAACGATTAATCGCTGAGCAAAATTGTTGTCCATCAATTAGATCATGAAGTAGTTGGATTAATCAGTAATTGTAGCACCGCTACATGTCAGTGCTGTTATATTATGCGTCTACATGTTTTGCTCCTCTGTTTGCGTTCATATATCCATTACTTCTAAAACTTGACGCTGACTGTTAGCATGTCCATGGCATTTTACATTGTTTGTTAGCATGAAGCTATGTGCTTGTTTTGAGGACACATGGTCTTGCTCTGCTCACAAGTTAAAGTACAAAATTGTCCCATTGTTGGCTCACGTCTCAAAAAAACTTGCATTTTGTACATCTCAAGGCGCTAATGTGTCTCCAAATGAACCGAGCGTGCGCGTGTTCTGCAGTGGACGGTGTGTGGTCCGAGTGGTCGGCGTGGCAAAGTTGCACATATCCCTTCCGGGACCGCATCATCCGCTGCAAGCAGATCGGTGGAAGTCAAAGTCGCGAGCGCCAATGTTTGTATCGGGAGCACAACGGTGCCATCTGTGGAGGTGATGACCTCAGTCTCAGTCAGTACAGAGGATGCTATGACGTCAACAGCTGCTATGGTGGGCACGCACGCATGCCGCGTTGATAACAGCTCACAGTATCTCAGCTGTTATTGTCTGTGTGTTCGTTTACATATGTTTGTGTCTGATCATGTGTGTGTATATGTGTGTGTGCATTTATGTTTGTGTGTGTCTGTGTGTGTGTGTGTGTGTATTGTGTATCTCTGTGAATGTGTGCGTGCGTGCTCGTCTCAGTCAAGGGGAACTGGGAGGGCTGGGAGCCATGGTCTCTGTGTAAACCGGCATGTGGAGGAAAGTCTCGGCGTCTCCGGAGGAGGATATGTTCGCCAGACTACAGCGACTATCGGTAAGAATCACAGATTTCGTCAAATAACCCGGATGCGTAATTCTGCCGATTCGCCGTAGTAAGAAGTGAAGCCTCCGACGGCCAGCTTTGTGTTCCTGCTCGCGAAGCTCGGCGAACTTGAATATATTGATGTCTCTGTGGCATTTTCAGGTTATTTACTGTCTCCAAGGCGAAAATGCAGCGCCACTATTACTGACAACTCTTGTTGGCTATTGGCACATAACACTTATCAGTGCGTGTTTTATGCCCACACACCTCTATGAAGTCATGAAAGCCAAGAACCAACTCTGCTATTTGCATCGACCATTCACAACGTATATTGTCTCAAAATGGTGGCTCGTGACTTACAGAGGTTAGGTTTACATTTCACAGCAATTTGTTTTTCCTGATGTAGTTTGCCATTTATCCATCCATTCATGATGTATATTTAAAGGTGTTGATTTTTTAAATTTAATTTTAATTCTTTTGGGCTTCCACACAGCCCCACCATCGGTCGTCTGGAGGAACCGGCCGTCTTCGTTGGGACGCCGCTGTTGGACTGCGCGGATTTGCCACCAGGGGTCGACACGCAAGAGGTTCAGCCTTGTGTCAACGTGCCCGCCTGTGACTGATGGTCATGCGTGTGTGTGCGTGTATGTGTGTGTGTTCCCAATAAAATTGTGGTGTATAACTGGGGGGGTGTCTTTTGCGTGGACAACTCGTAGCAAGAGTTTCGTGGGTTTGATCCCTAATTCCTCTTCACATTAGTAGACAATTAAAAAATGACACGAGAGCAACATTAGCATACGCGCTGGAGCGTGTGTGCATGTGGATATGAACTGTGATGTAGACGGATTAACAGTTGTCGCACCGTGCCACGAGCGGATGCACACGCAATTGTAAATCCAATCAAATCACGTATAAAATGTGGCTCATGTTCAATCGAAAAAGGCTTGCTGCGCTGCGGCAATGAAAGGCACGTACGGCAGGTGGCGCTCGTCGGTCACGCGCGCGTCACGGTGTGGCACAGAAGAGAAGAAGAATTCGGAAGAGGAGCACGTCAAGACATTGCTGGTCTTTGTGTTATTTGATCATTTCGCGTCTCAAACCTGATTTATTAATTTGTTCCGGTCTGCCGTCGTCATGGAGGTTCCGGGACCCGACAGCGACTGGAGGAGTCCTCAGTTCAGGCAGAAAGTCGTCGCTCAGATGTGAGATTTAATCGCTGTCTCTCCTGCTTTCTTAAGCTTAGTTTGGTTTTGCTCAGCTCTGCCCACCTCAAACAAACGGACCGGCTTAACGTGTGCAAAGGCTTTTTATTTCAGAGCACTTCTTGTGCTTCAATTTGCCCGAAGCGTAATATTGTTTGTCAATTTTGAATTATGCGTATTCCAATGATTTGTCATTCATGCGCTATTTAAAAAAATAAAAAGGCTACATCAAAGTTTACTTACTAGTAGAGTTCCCATTAAGTTGGGAACAGTACTCTTCTGTGCTTCTATTTTTTTGACAATCGACTCACCTGTGGTCACATGACGCTCAAATATATACAGCATATCCCCCAATGGTCTTTCAGTACCCCACTAAAGAGCCACGTTTCAATTTGGCAAAATCCTGCTTCATTACCAGAAATGGTAATTCCCACTCAACGTTGAATACTATGTGTGCATGTTGGCACATGCTTCAGACAGCAGGTCATGTATTGTGTAAGTTGCGAAGTGTGAGTGTTTGTAAATAGAACATGATTGTGTGCAAGCAAGATGTTCTGAAATAATGGTCTCCTAATGTATTTGCACTTTGCAGCGAGGAGGCCAAGAGGAAAGCGGGAAGCGGACACAGTAAGTCTAGCACGGAGATGGAGAATCAAGTTTACATCAAAGCCAAGACCAGAGTAAGTCGGGACCACGCTGGAAGATTTGAATTGGAACCTCCTCACTAAAATATACACTGAAATGTTAAGAATTAAAATGCAATACTCAGGAATAGGAACATCGATAATAAAACACAGCAATGGTGAATCACAATATGATTGTAGATCAATGCTTAATCAGGAATAACAAGTTAAAAATGTGCACCCAAATGTCACTTTACGCTGTTTGAAGGATCTTAGGGGAAAATGACAATGTTGCTTTTGCAGGAGGAGTATCTGTCCCTGGTGGCCAGGCTCATCATCCACTACCGCGACATCCGTGAGTGACCATCCATTTATTTGTTTGCCTGTCCTGTCCCATTGTCACTTGACGACTGACCCCTGCCTTGTTTCTCTTTGACAGACAAGAAGACCATGGGAGGTCCGGGTGAGTGCATGTGTGCACGTGCCGGTGCACATGGGCGGCACATGTAAAGCAGCGTGTGTTGTCTCCATTAGATCCCATCAATGCCCTGACTAACCTGACTGGCGTCGGAGGGGGCCCGGGCGCCATCGGCATGGGGCCCCGCCCCACCGGCGCCCCCGTCGGGGGCCTGGGGGCCATGGCGCCCATGCAGATTGGCCAGCATGCCATGCCGGGGGTTTCTGGAAACCCGCAACCCCGTGAGTGGATTTCCTTTCCACGCCAAGCCGCATGCTCACTTGCCTGCGGAGTCACATGACTTCGCATGGGCGGCGCATGATGTCATTCGGTTATGTTCGCTAACTTGATTTGGACCCGAGGGGTCAGACATCATTTAAACACAAGTAAAACGACAGTGACAAAACGACAGCCGTGCTTCAGACCTAAAGCTCGTGGATCAAACCAACAACTGAACGTTTTCTCTGTATGGGTTCACCTTACTTCCCTCTATCATATATTGCTTTCTTTGGGGTCAATAACCCCAAGTCAAGACGTTTGCCTTCCGTCCCAATATGGGAATGTGCTCATGGTTATGTTGGAGAACGGACGTGACACTCTTCCCCGCATTCCCCCCGGCTCCCTTAATCCTGCTCCTGGTCCTCAGTGGGTGGTCCCGCCCAGTTGGCCCTGCAGCAGCAGCAGCAGCAGAACTTGCAGTTCCAGCAGTTCCAGCAGCAGCAGTTCCAGGTTCAGCAGCAGATGAGAGCCCAGCAGCAGCAGATGCACCAGAACCAACAGCAGCAAAACCAGCAGCAGCAGAACCAGGTACGACCGCAACCAGCTTCCAGTCCCTTTCAGCCTCCGCCACTTCCTGTGTTTGCAGATGCATCAGTCCAGGATGCAGCAGCAGCAGCAGCAGATGGTGCAGTTGCAGCTGCAGCAGCAGCACGCGCAGTCTATTCAGCACATGGTCCAGCAGCAGGGGCAACCGGGCCCCATGCAGCCGCTCCTGCAGCAGCAGCAGCAGGCCCCCATGGTGCCGCAGTCTCTAGCCGGACAGATGGCGACCGCCCAGCACGTCCCCATCAACTCGCTGAGTCAGCAGCAGCACCAGCTCAAGATGCAGCAGGCCTTCCAGGTCAGAATACGCCCCATCCCCTGAGCACCTTACACAAGCGTCAGCACCACGCTGTTTGTCGCCAAACGCTGACCCTCCCTATTCCAACAAACCCCTATCCAAGCATCACTCCCATTCACACGCCAAGCCTCCTATCTCCTCCCGAGTCCCCTCACAATGCCTACTTGAATACGTGTGTGCAGGCCCGGGCAGCGTTGCAGCAGCAGCATCAGATGGCGGCCGCATCAGGACAAGTGAGTCACGGCCTACAGGTGGGAATCGGATAAAGAACCGACGCCGTGAATCACGCCCCCCTCTTCCGTCCAGTTGGTACGTCCCAACATGCAGATTCCCGCCCGGCTGCCCCGCCCTCCGCTGGCCCCGGCCATCCCGCCCCCCAACGCCGCCGCCGTGACGCAACAGGTATGACCTTGAACCCGTGACCTTTCAGGCTCTGTCAGTCATCTGTTCGGTTGGTCCTGGCAGGTACAGCAGCATGCCATGATGTCGTCACCTTCGCCAGTGCAGGTCCAGACCCCACAGTCCATGCCTCCGCCCCCGCAGCCGTCTCCTCAGCCTCCCACCTCACAGCCCAACTCGGCCAGGTATGAGCACGTGTAGGGCTAATTACTAGTTTGACTCACGCTTCGATGAGGAAAAAATGGACGCGATCGTTTTTGGGGACTTGATAGTCATTTGCATGCTTGTTTGTTTACCGTCATCATCAATGTTCGCTCGCGCTGCTGCTTCCCTCTGTTGTCTCTCAATTTGATGGCCTACTGTGGGAGTCAATACACACACACACACACACACACACTTACATACCGGGAATGAAAATGCATTTTTCAAATTTGGTTCGCATGTCTTGTACACGGACAATTTATCTCGTGCTTTTAATGAGGTGCAGTAGTGTATCATCAAGGATAATAGCCAAGTGCCGCTAATGTTAACCATCATTCGGCATACAGCGATCCTCTATGGGGCTGTTTTTTTTGTTTTTGTTTTTTTGCACAATTTCATTTCTTGCTTCTGCACTATGAGTTCTGAAAACATTCACTCTGCCTGCCAGATCACTTAGAGATCAACCTTGGTTTGAGCCAATGTACCCATTTTACGGTAGAAAAATCTCTCGGGTAATGAGCATACCAAAAAAAAAAAAACACACAGTAGTGTCATTTTTCGTGATAGTTTCTGGGGAAATTCATCGTCCAGGGGAAAAAAAATGTTATTGTGACAGGCCAAAGCAGGTGTTGTCGACGCCTCCCTGTTGGCATACGGCCTCCGTGTCCATGCCCTTTTCCTTGGTAACTTCCTGTCTGCAGCTCGGGTCCCACGCCGTCTCCTGGGGGGTTCCAGCCCAGCCCGTCCCCTCAGCCCTCACAGAGTCCATCTACCGCCAGGACACCCCAGAACTATGGGGTCCCCTCGCCCGGCCCACTTAGCACTCCAGGTACACACACACACACACACACACACACACCATCTGATTATATGACTTCCCAACAGGAAACCCAAACTCTGTGATGAGTCCCGCGGGGGCGGCGTCCCAGGAGGATCAGCAGTACATGGAAAAACTCAAACAGCTTTCCAAATACATCGAGCCTCTGCGCCGCATGATCAACAAGATTGACAAGAACGAAGGTGTGGGGGCGCGGGGTGGTCTTCGATGTAAACGCCCGTCCTGTGAGTAACCTTTGACTTGTCGTTGCCAGAGCGAAAGAAGGACCTCAGCAAGATGAAGAGTCTCCTCAACATCCTCACGGACCCCAACACAAGGTGAAACTCAAAGCGCACAAGGACTGGGCAATTGATCAGAAGCTAGTACATGTTACCGTGGTGAGAGTCAGCTGGCCCATGTTGCCATGCCAACAGCCTCCTGTTTCATTGAGGTGATGCCACCATGGGTACAGCTAGTCAGTGTCACCATGGCAACTGTATGGCACGTTTCTGTCGCAACCGTCAACAAGGTGATGTTGCCATGTCGACACGTCACCATGACGAGTTTCGTGGTGCGTGTCACCATTGGTGACAGACGGCGAGTTAGTGTGACCCCTGCGACAGTCCTCTTAAGTTTCCTGACCTTCAGGTGTCCTCTGAAAACGCTCCAAAAGTGTGAGATCGCGTTGGAGAAGCTGAAGAATGACATGGCCGTGGTAAGACATGCCCCTTGTTACATCATCACCCCCCCTCCCCCCCCCTCCCAATCTTTACGTGTCTGCGTCTGTGTGCTTTCGGTCAGCCGACGCCCCCGCCGCCGCTGCCACCCAAGCAGCCCTATTTGTGCCAGCCGCTACTCGACGCCGTCATGGCCAACTTGCGCTCTCCCGTATTTAACCACTCGCTACACCGCACCTTTGCCCCCGCCATGGCCGCCATTCACGGACCGCCCATCACGTAAGTCGCGTGCCTGCACACGACACGTCCGTCAAAAGAGCGGCTCCCAAAAAGTTTGATGTCGGGCTCTGGATGAGCCTAAAATGCACGAGAACCTTCCAAATTTCCATGCATTTCTTTCCATTTGTATGCCTTTCTGCGGCTCTTCTAATCAAACTGTTACAACTCTGCGTTACACTCTAAGTCTTCCTACATGTGGAATGATTTTTCCAAATCCTCAAATATTTTTTTTTAATCTGTGACAAAGCCAACACACAAAGGTTTCCCAGTTTTCCCACAACCTTGAAAAATGTTGGTGGTAAATATTGAATCAGGACAAAAACACCCTGAACGTCTTGATGTGTGTACCTTGCCTAAGCCACATTCACCCCGATTTTTTTGTGTGGTCATAAATTTTCCACTTTGCAAAAATTCTCCCCGTGGGCCGGATCGAACCCCACCAACAGGTCAAACGTTTGACACCCCATGGGGAACTTTTCGTGGCTTCCCCCTCAGTGGTCCGCTGGTTCTGTCACGGAAGAGGAAGCAAGACGAGGACGAGCGTCAGACGGTCCCCAACATCCTGCAGGGGGAGGTGGCCCGGCTTGATGTCAAGTTCCTGGTGCACCTGGACCCGGCCCACTGCAGCAACAATGGGGCCGTGCACTTGCTCTGCAAGCTGGGTGAGACACTAAGATACCTTGCGTGTTGATTTTCCCCCCGCGCTCACTTCTAACCTCCTTTTCGCCGCAGAGGACAAAAACCTTCCGAGCGTTCCGCCGCTGCAGCTCAGCGTTCCCGCAGACTATCCGGACCAGAGCCCCTATTGGTCCGACCACGCCGACCAGTACGGTGAGCAAAACATCCCCCCGGCCCCTCCCCTTCCTGTCCACCACAGTGGCACCTTGAGATATAAGTGACATGACTTTGGAGTTTCTGTAGATATTAGACATCTCTGATCTTTGTTTTGGGGGTGTCGGGGGGCTTTTGAGCGCACCATAGAAACAGTATGTGGCAGCAAAGTCAACTCGTTTTCGTTGCCCAGAAGCAAAACTTTGGTAAATGCTGAATAGTTGTTGAATTTATTCCCATTGAAGCTTTGGATGAACTTAAACATGAGATTGCTTTATGGACGTCTTCATAGCTTAATGCTAACAATCAACGCAAAATACAATTGACACGCTAATTGTTAGCATTGTTTTTTTGGGGGTGGCGGCTAAGTCACATGACATTCGCAGGGGGGGGGGGGCAAGGGCAGTTTGGCATCACTTTCATTCAACAGCAGGGGGCAGTACTGCATTAAATTTCAGCTGTTCAAGGGAGCTGACAAGTTTCAGGTGCTCAATTCTGATTGCTCAAATGCAGTTTTCATCCATTTTTCGACGCGAGTTCACCTTTAACTTTGTAATTACTGTATGTTTTATGAACTAAATATTGTGCTATTTACCTGACTAGATGTTCCCAAAACGTTTATAGAGTTATGGGCATGGTCGCAGAACAAATTGAACTGGTAGCTCGAAGCACCACTTTGGCGAGTCGGGAATGACAATTGATTGCAAAGCATTTCTCATTCCCGGCTCCCCAATCCTTGCAAAGGGATTTCTAGTGCAGGAATGATCTAGGTCTGCTGTAAAAATGTGTGGCTGTGTGCCGACTTGTGTGCGCAGGCGCCAACCATTTCCTGCAGGCGGTGCATAGGACCCTGGCGTCCAAGCTGCTGCAGCTTCCCGACAAGCATTCGCTGACAGAGATTCTGCACACGTGGGCACAGAGCGTCCGCCAGGCCTGTTTGTCCGCCGCGTGATCTCACTGCCGCAACCCGCATCTTAAATGGCAACCTCTCCTTATTTTTTTTATTTTTAAAACACAAATAAAACACCTGCCCGAAGACCACACGTTTTATTCACGCCATAAAAAAATTGAAAAAAAGTTGACGTGTGCATCAAAAGCATAGTGAAAAGGCTCTGTAAGACACGTTGGTGAACACGTCCACAAACTGGCTGCTTCCTGCCACCGTCAACACCTGAAACAGATTCCACGCCGCTCATGACTGATCTGACACAAAAAGACAAGCGCAATACAGCCGACGCACAACTACACATCTGACTGACAATACGTCGGACGAGGGATGGGAATTAAAGAATTGTGATGACCTGAATCAGAAAAAAATTACTTTCTGTAAAACCCACCCTAAATGTTAGTGTGACAACAGAGGACTGCACATACCTGGTGCTCGGCGCTGTTGGTGTTGAGCTCCAGGCTGTTGATGTTGTTGGGCGTGCACGGGATCTGAGCCTTGACCTGTCCCCCCAGCAGGCAGTGGGACACAGTGGGACCTTGGCCCACTGCCAGAATCTGCGTCGAGATGGGACGGGACGTTCACGCGGATTGAAGGAGGCGCGGCGCAAGTTGCCGAGGTAGATTTTCCTCACCATGTCCTGATAGAATGTGGCTCGTCTCTGGCAGCCGCTCAAAGCGAAGACGGACGTCGGCGTCAGGGAGCGAAGGTGCCACAGGGAAAGTGACGGGCCGCCGCCGCACAGCTGCAACGACACCACAATCACCACAACCTTGGCCACCAACAGCGGAGGTTCACTGTCCTGTCAAAAAGTCTTACCATCCAATCTGAGTCGGTGGTCAAACAGCTGATCCACTTGCCAAACTGGGGGCGGGCACATTTCTGACGAACAAGGAAAGACAAGGAGCTGAAAAAAAACGGTATGCTAACTAACAGCTAGCTGCGGTCCCGTGATGACGTTGTCTTACTTGGTACTTGTGCACCTCCACGCAGTGAACGCACTGAGACGTTCTGGTGTCTGGACACAAGATTAGACAACCGCATAAGTGCTGAACTGAAATGCCAAGGAATTCTTCGAATGGTTGAAATGGAGAATGTGAGACTAAAATGCGGAAACGTGGAACTTCGAAAATGAAATTCTGGGGATGATTGGGAGTTTTTGTGGAAAAAGTGAACAAAATTGGTTTCTTGGAAAATGTGGAATTCTGGGCGGAAAATGAATTTTTAAAATGGCAAATGCTGAATCCCGGGGAAGTTGGAATTGTTGAAATGTCACTAGGTACTCACCCCATATCCTGACGGCGCCATCCTCGCTGCCTGACAGAACCTCACCTTCGCGCTCCCTCACACTCAGACAGTGGACGTAGTCCGTGTGTCCCCGGAAGACTGACTGGGAGCAGAGACGGACAAACGTTAACATTGGGCGCCGACTAGCGATGTTGCCACGCTTCCTCGTGCCCACTTTGAAGACGCCGTGCTCCAGGTCCAGGATGTGAACGTTGTTGTCACCGCCGCCAAACACCACGCTGTTGTCCTGATATGAACACAAACAATTACATTTAGTGGAACTAGACAGTAGTAGTAAGGACAAAGTACTAGTCCGTAGACCTTCAGATGGATAGAGGCTGGATAGACATGGAATAAATTCTCAAAATGGCTTTTCAGTACTCACTCTGGGGTTGATGACCATGGCGTTGATCTCGGGGATCTCCATGCTGGCTCTGAACAAGGAGTGAAAGAGAGAAGGCCCGTCATATGAACTGCCGTATGGGTGAGCCGGGCCAAGTTGGAAAACGACACTGACTTGTATTCCGGTCTCCTTGTCCACACAGCTTTGACGTTCTGAAACGCAAACACAAGAAAGTGCAACAGTGAGTCACACGCTGCGGTGACCCTGCCATCGCGTTGCGCTACCTTCTTGATGAGCTCGGCCCAATTCCAGGCGCTGACCGATCCATCACCGGCGCTCAGCAGATGGCCGCCAAACGACTCCAGACAGAACACTGGACCGTCATGAGCTGAGGGGCACGACACACAGACAGTTAGATGGCAGACACTGGCCTCAACCAAGATGAAGTGAACATTGCTCACCTGAAAACGTTAACACGGGCTTTCGACCTGCCTCCGACGTATCAGGGCTCAGAGCTGCGCACAAACTTGACAGAACAGCTTCATCATCATCAACATCAACATCAACATCATCATCATCATCATTCTCGCACCCCTCACCTGAAGATGGCGATCTCCCCGTAATTGTTTCCCGCCGCCAGAAAGCGTCCACATGGTGAAAAACTTTGAGAGAACACCGACATGTGCAGCAACTGTGGACATGTCACATGCCCATTAACATGTCGCTCAGTCTTGAACACCACAGCCTGCTCATGAATATGCCACATCACCAGATCATTAACACTCCATGTCACGTTTTAACACAATACGTCTCCTGCTCGTTCTCACGCCGTGAGACCAGATCGTTCAGGGCCATATCCAATTTAAATCATCACCATCAGATATTATGGTTCAGTTGCAGGCTTTGTGAAATATTGTTATGCTTCTCACATAAATGTCGCAATTAAATTGCGTTCAAATGGCATAAAGCAGTATAATTGATATTGCTGGCTGGGAGCTCAGCACCTCTCAACCAATCAGTCTACATTCGCCCCTGATACAAATATAAACGTATAGCTGCACGAGAGACGTCGGGAGAACAAGTTTTGACATTTGAGCACAAAAGAAAATATTTGTCGAAATTTGGGGGGGAAAAAGCCAAAATAAAGTTTACCTCGACGGGCCCCATTGTTGTCTCCTGGAGCGGCGCAATTTGATGTGCTGCGAAAGCGCATTATTATGTCGTCACCGCACCTTGCATTCTGGGACATGTAGTTAAAGGCGCGCCATTGCGACATGCTCGTTGTTCGGTCATGATGGCAGACGGTGCATTAAATAGTGTGCGGTGTTGAACGAGAATATTTATTTTAGTTTGTAATAACAACAACACAACAACAGTAAAAGCAAAGCACAGCTAAAGTCTTAAATGGGGACAAAAACAAAATAAATTCTCTCGGGTCACGAAATCAACATGGCGCTGCTCTCTTTGCCGCTCGGGCCGGCTCGGCTGCGTTCGGATCGGCTCGGCACGGCCTCTCCCGCTGATGTGGAAAATGAAAATGAAAACGCTTGTAGACAGCAAACAATCAACTAGCTTGCTTTGTCTTATTTTCCAGCTCATCGTCGTAGTCGTGCCGCGCGCATGATGACGCGGTGCGCGGCAGGAAGTGTGTTGTCGTCGTCGTTGTCGTCGTAGCGGCGGGCGGCGCGGCGGCGGACAGCCAAGAGGCAAAAGTCGAGTGTGGAAAAGCAAAGCGGCATATGCCAAACAAAACAAAAATGGTTAGTCGGTGACGGCGCAACGTTTCGCCTCTGCATCTGCACGCCGACTCAGCTCGCTTCACTTAGCGGGACGCGGAGGGCGCCGGAGGGGTAAGTTTGAGGCTGGCAAAGCAGCTTTCCCTCCCCACTTGATGGGGGCCGAGCGCGGAGGGTCGACTCGACATCTTTGTGTAGCTGCAGGGCTAGCTCGGTTAGCTCGGCGGCTAGCGGACGAGCTAACACCCGACCGGCCGAGGCTGTTCTGGTCGCAATTAATCGATTGCGGATAACACTTAGCGTCTTTGCGTGTGCGTACATTTGCAGAGTGAGCCTTATGTTGTTTGTCTGTCTGTTGGTTTGCTTGCTAACTGAACGGCTAACAAGTCAGGTGCTAGCAACGACCCGGTGAGCTAACGTTATCGGGCTGCTCGTGGTTGACGCGCGCAATGGCCTTTTTCGTCAAAGTCAACCATGTTCTTCGAGACTGCTGTGGTCGCTGCTGTGGTCCCCAGTGGGCTCTCATGGCCCAGGGTTGTTTGTGGCGCGAGTTGTCCGGGGAGCGAGGCGGCGGCGGCGGCGGCTCGCTGCTCAAAAGTCTTTTTTCATTCTCGTGTGTACGTAACCGAACCCTCTGCGGGCTCGTTTGTGCTGATGATGGAGGTGGGAGGCGATGAACGAAGCTCCGCGAAGGGGAGAACCGTGCGGCGGGGAAGATGCTCGGCGTTGTCCGACAGATGCGTGCTGGAGTCGGGCCAAGGTCAGGAGGGCCCCCCCCCCGGCCCGCTCTCGCTCCCCTCTCCATTTTTCTCCTTCATTGCATCAGCACGTCAGTCAAAGAAAGCGATTGGCAACTTTTCACGTAAACAATAACACGTGCATGCCAATTAAACGAGTTTATTTCTTGTCAGTGATGTTTGCTGACATGTTGCCATGGAAACACTAATGGTGTTGTAAGACATCAAACGTCTCTGGCAGTGTTGGGAGATCCTTTACTTAATATGAAATGGACTATGGCTATGTGCAAACTGCACGTCAATTAACTTTTATTTATTGCTCAAATGTATCTTTTTCCCCTGTCAATGAGTACAGTATTATTCAGATTTTTTTCCCCAGATCCCGATCATATGTGGATATTAATTAACAATGCACCTACAGTCTGGATTCTCAAACACGCTTATTCAACCTCCACGCCATCAAAAGACAACAAATGTCATAGTGAGCTGACAGAACAAACAGGCACAAAAAACAGTCAATGGCGACTAGATGGAATGAAATCATTCAGTTATGAAAACGTAAACTTCGGTAGCACAACGTCTTTGAAATTGCCACGTCATGCATCTGGACAGAAACCGACACGAGGACTATATTTACTTCGCCAAACGCACTGTGCACCATGTGACCTCATGTTTTGTGCGCAGGTGTGTCACTTTGTGGATGTGTTGCGTTTGCTTTATAGGTCATAATTATTTTTGGGAATGAACTACATAACAATATCAGATTCAAAAACAACAACAGCAAAAAAGTTCAATTGGGCATCATACACTGCAGGGTGATCGTAGCTGTAGATGGTTTGCTAAAATGTCAACTAAAAATCCCTTTGGAGTGATTAGGGAGTAGACAGCGAGTGAATGAGTGAATAATTCAGAACACAGCTTGGTTCTGAATCATTCACTCACTCCCACTCCCTA